GAGCCGGCTCGGCTCACTTACACCCCTAGGAGGGGCGGCGGCAAGAGGGAGAGAGAGATGGGGTCCACTTGATTTCAAATTCAAATTTGGAGCCAAAGGAGGGGGCGGCAAGGGCTTTAGGTCTTTTTGTCTTATTGTTTTAATTATATGCCTTTAAGTATGGAAGGGAGATTAGGGTTAGGGTTATGTTTTTATTATTGGTTCTTGTGAGGGTTCTTCTTTGTATTTTGGGCTTTAGACTCATCTAGAGATTTGGAGAGAAGATCCTCCTCTCGAATTGAGGATCAATTGTATCTTTGTTTTTATTGTTTCTGTTAGTTCTCTCTTTTGCAATCCAATTACAATTTGTAGAGTTTTTCACCAGATTTTGTGTGATTCTATTGCTGTTTTTTCCTATTCTTGTTAGGGTTTACTTGAAATATTCATGTATTTCCTATCACACTGTTGCTCTTGACTGAAGTTACAGCTCAAACTAACTTAGAGTTCCTGAAGAGCAATCTATTTTAGACTTTACAACATTCACCATTATTATTTGCTATATATACTCCAGTCCTGAATGCTGATGTAATTCCTTGATATGTTGTTTGTTTGTCCTGTGTCGGTCTGATATTTTGTGTGATTTGTTTTGATATCTTTACAGCAACTGATTTTGGCGGCAATTGACTTAGTTGATGCTAACTCAAAATCTGGAGGATTTATAGTCTATTCAACATGCTCCATGATGGTTGAAGAGGTTCTTTGTCTCTTAATAATTTATGAGATATTTTAATATTCATTGCTAATTTTATTGTTCTATTAAGCCGCCCTTTACATTTGCAGAATGAGGCTGTGATAGACTATGCTCTTAAGAAGAGAGATGTGCAGGTTGTACCCTGTGGATTGGACTTTGGTCGCCCTGGGTGAGTTGATTTTCAATTTGCCTTTCATTTATAATGACACAAGCACAACTTTTAATGAGATTCTCTTCTAAACAGATTCATACGGTTTCGCGAGCATCGCTTTCATGTGTCATTGGAAAAGACAAGAAGGTTCTACCCCCATGTGAACAACATGGATGGCTTCTTTGTGGCTAAGGTACTAGTTCTTTCTAGATTTTTCTGTGAGCTAATTTTGAATGACTTTGCTAGAAACAATTGGTCATTGTGAATTGTGATCAATAAATCTCATTCATGTTTCACAGCTTCTGTATATTATTTTCCGTACTCTTGATATTCTTTTGTTCTTTATGGCCTTATTATTTGTAAAAAAATATGTTTGTTGTGTACAATGTTTTATAAGGCGAAATCGAGAATCGAGACGAGGCGTAAGCCTTGAGGCAGATCAAGGCGTAAGCCTCAAAATGGTAAAAAAAAGCTTATGTAAAATCAATGTTTAAAATTGCGTAATCGGGTATTAAGGCGTTTTTCATTCGTGAGGCGAGGCGTAAGCCTCAAGACGTTTTGAGGCGTAAGCCTCAAAATCAAAAAATTGCG